GAATTAGAACAAACAGGCTTTATTAGGGAGAAAAACCCAGCCTGGGCGAAGTCCCACAGTCCACAATGTCCGGGCTGGAGGAGTCGCATTGCAGGCTACAGGGCTGCTGCTTATATGGACAGGTATGTCCGGGGTTCTGGAATGTAAGGTGTCTTCCTGGTTCCGGGTGTATTTGTGCTGGGTGCAGAGTGGTGGGCAAGAACAAAGTGGGCACTGAGCCAGACGGGCTGTGCTGGTGCCGGGTGCAGAGCGGCAGGTCAAGAACAAAGCGGGCCATTAGCCAGCTCTGGTCAGCTCCGCAGGTGTGTGGGGGAGATTCAAGGCCACTTGCTGCTAGTTGTTTCAGCTAGCTCTGGTCAGCTCTGCCTGGGTAGGGGAAACTCAAGGTCACTTGTTCTAGAAGCCAGCCTGGTATTGATCCGGCCATACACTTTATATTAAAAGCAATTGCATATTGAGAAAACAGCCCAGCCCAGCCAAATCAAGTCTATAAGTTCGATATTGGCCTATATGTCAGATATTGTCTATAAATTCCGAATGCAGAAAGATCATAGGCCAGTGGGTGGAAAGTCTTGTGGATCCAGTGGCGGTGGAAGTATCTCATCACTGGTGTGGGTCTCCACGTGGCTCCTCCAGTTCCCTGATGTGGCTCAACAGGAAGGTATAGCAGAGAGAGTGTGTGGCCTACCTCCGGGGAGAAGGAAAGGAAGTTCCAGAGTCCTCAAGAGCAGGCGATGCCCACAAGGAGGCATCATCAGGCTATGACCTGATCAACGGAGGCAAGATGGCAGGCAGGCCTGTGAGGTCACCAGAGCTCAGGGACTAGTGCCTAGAGTCAGTGAGGCTGGCTGGGACTGAGTGGAGAAAGCCCCGCAAACAACATTGATATGCCAGCAAATGTAAGCGCGGACGCCACTGTCCCCTTGCCCACAGTACATCCTGACCATCGTCCCTGAGGACCAAGACAGCCATCACAAGGTAAATTGGGAACATAGGAGCTTAGCCAGAGCCGTGAGAAAGCAGCCTGGTGAGCTGACCCCGCAGAACTGTCCCACCCCTGTGGGGGTCACTCTCTTGCATGAGTTTAGACTGGCTCCTACCTGTGCGCCCTCCCCCCCCCCCCCCCCCCCCCCCCCCCCAGTTAGCTCACTCTGCCTAATAGCCAGCATTAAGTTAGTTAAGTCACAGCTTGTAGAAGATAATAATGGGCCACCTTGTTTTGGATTACGGAGAAGCTTCCTAAGCTTGTCCACTTGTTTCCATACCCTCTGTTGTGCCCCTTGCTCCCTATTCCTGACTCTGGAGGTCCCACACGATGACCCCGTATAGAACCTCCGAGCCATTGACACAGAATCTCAGTAGAACATGTTAAGGGAGTATGGCGTGATGGGAGGGGTCTCCTTCCCTGAGAAAGCGTCCTGGGAGAACAGTCCGCTCTGGGTGGACAAGACTAGCGGGGATAGAGGTGTACAAACCCAGAGAGTGTGGGAAACACACACACACACACACACCTGGACTGCAGATCAGGCCTCTCCCAGGGAACAGGTAGGATGGGGTTGCCAAACTGGGGCCAGCCTGTCGTGGAGGCGGGGGCAAGAACATGGAGGAGGCGCTGTGGATTTGTGTGTCAGAGAGGACTCAGACGGCCCTGGGAGGAGGGTCGGGGGATGAGCCAGGTGGGAGGCTCAGAAAGAGGTGCAGGTGTCGTGAAGAGCTGTCTAGTCTGTGAAAAGACTGCTGTGTATGTGATAGTGTTCCTGTGTCGGGAGGGGAAAAAAAAAAGCCTGCCAGTAGAAAACTGGGCAACAGATAGGAAAGGCTCTTCACAGAAGACAGCGCGGGATTGAATGGCCAGGCACCTGTGTGAAACAGGGTGCAGCTGCATGAGTTGGAGAAGGGAAGTGGGCATCCCCTTGTCCCTGAATCCCCATTAGATTAACAAATACAAGGGGCTTCAAAAAGTTAATGGAAAACAACAAAAGCTAATGGAATTTTTTCCAAGAACTTTTTGAAGCCCGCTCCTCACGTTGGAATGTAAGCGGTTTTATGTAGAACTGTAACTTTGATGGGAGGGATATCATTTAGGGGCCTTCTGGAAAATACTTAGGCAACAGGTGTCACGATAGCAACTGTCCGCAGGCTTAAATTAACAGTGACCTACATAGGCAGGATTAGTTGAGTACATTTCAGGCAGCTTATACAGCTGCCTTTTTTTTAATGGCGCTGTGGCTTGATAGATTTCAGAACAGCGCGCACCAGGGACCTGAGTTACGATGGCGTGTCCGCACATGTAGGTGCCCAAAGAGATGTCTGTGAAGACATTTCGTCACACTGTTCATGGGCTAGCTCAAGAGAATTGGGAGTTGTTTCTACACTCTGTACCTATCATCGTCTTTTTACGGTGGGTAGCTTCAAAGTAAAAGCAAAGCTATATCCCACAGTGGGAAGGAGGATGGGTAGAAGGTGAAGCGTTTAAAAGTGCATTGCCCACTGAACAGAAGGTGGGGGCAGAATTGGCGGCCTCATGGTGGTGGTTGTACCTGGCTTGGGCTCCAAACCACCAGCCGCTGCAAAGAAGAAAGTTGGGGCTTTTTACTCTCATAAAGGGTTAAAGTCTCGGGAACTCACAGGGGCAGTTCTACCCTGTCCTACAGGGTCTCTGTCCATCAACATCAACTTACTGGCAATGAGGGCTCTTGCAGGGCTCCCCGTAACCATGTAGACTATTGCCGGTTTCAGGACGGGGTAGGACTTCATCCATTGATGTCCAACAAGCCATCGTAGCTATTGCTTGGGGCTTTAGGGGCGAAGGGGGAGGTTCACAGTCATCCGGGTGGGGTCGAGTCAGTAGAGCACAGGGCCAAGAAGAGCGTCTTTAAGGAAACCCTTACGTTACCCTGTGCCGTCAACTTCCCCGTGGGTGGAACCTTTTGAATCACCCTTGGGTGTCTGCCCTTTCCTTTCACCACCTGTCTAATCCTCAGCAAACTTCCCTCATGTCCCACCTGCCACGTAAGCCCTGTCACCTCTCCACTTGCTCCTCCAGCCACCTCAGCACCTCACGTATAGACAGCTGCACAAGCTCCTGCCTGCAGCCTCGGCCTGCCCTGCCATCACGCCGAGGCTCATCAGCTTAGCGTTTTAAGCATGTCCGTCCTCTGCTAGACATGTCCAGCAGCTCCACGGGAGCACTGCTTGGGACTTAGCACTCTTGTGGCAGGCCTCAGCTTTTAGCTCCATTAGTGAGCGTCGAACTGCCAACCAGGTGCTCCTTGGGAGGAAGATGGTGCTTCCTACTCCCAAGAAGGGTTACAGTCTTGGAAACCTGGAAGGGGCAATTTTACCCTGCCCTAGGGTCACTGTGAGTCGGCATCGACTTGGAGTGAGTGAGTGAGTCTCAGTCAGAACTGACTTGATGGCAAAGCCTTTTCCTAGTTTAGTCCCCAGTTCCAAACCACCAGCTGCTCCTCAGGAGAGAGACAGGGCTTTCTACTCCTGTTAACTGTTACAGTCTGGGAAACCAGGGGCAGTTCCACCCTGTCGCTGGCAGGTGCTCTGAGTCGGCATCAGCTCCATAGCTGTGAGTGAGTGAAGTACACCAGCACTCTGGTTGGGATTTCTGTAGTGCCTGGATCCTAGCAGATTCTGACTCAACCCATAGCCATCATCTTGTCTGCACTCGGTGCTGTAGATGACCACTCAGGCTAATGTCATCCACAGCCCTCTGATGCTTACTCACCTGTGTGTCTCGTCAAAAAGAGCCTGGACTCTCTTTGAGGCGTGAGCTTCTCAAGTTTCTGTTTCATGTCTTCCGAGAGCAGTGGGGACTGGCAGTGGCCAGGCAGTGGTTTAGAATGGAATAACTGTCCAAAGGAATGAGTCAGCCCACTGAAGGTGGCGTGTTGGGCAGTCCTTTGATCAGAATGTCACAGAAGCTGGGGGAACAGAAATGCTTTCCCTAGCTTGCGGGTTTCTGCTCACTCAAAGCACCAGGGACGCAGAATGCTGTTTCCAGAAAGAAATCTGGTTCCTTTGAACATTGGTCCTGAAGAAAACATTTGCCCAGAGGAAGACTTTGTGAGGTGTTCGAAAACCCACCTTGGGTTGTGTAAGCTGTTTGGTCAGGAAGAAGTCGGCCCCTGTGGTCGGCTTCACAGAACTTTACAGACAAACCGAGCAGGCACTCCGTCTTCCACTGTGGAGAGAGAACCGAGAGTACTGTAGGCCCCACCTGCCCTGACTAGGAAAATTCCAGAAAAAAAAAATGGCACCAGCCTGGTCTCCGCCCCCGGGGTGAACTGTGCAGAGGCGCAGACTTGTCCAAGCTGTCACCTGTCCACCCTCTGCCCAGGTGGCGCTCGGAGCAATGTCCAGCCTGAATTCCCCAGTTGCTGCTATGGCGTTGAACTCCTGGCGAGCCTGCGCGACGGGCGAGAACTGCCCCCCAGGGGTCTTCTCCGCCGTCAACTCAGGCTGTGTTGAAGGGCGCTAGTCCTTGGTTGGTGTTTAGTGGGTACAAGCCATGTACTGCCTCTGTTCCTTTATATATTGCGAAACTAGGGGATGGTGTTTTTTTCTTTGTTTCCTTATCCAAATGTATATTTTGAAATCCAGCTTTGTTGTTTTTGTTTTCTCTTCAGGTGAGAAGCCATTTACTTGTGAAATTTGCGGCAAATCTTTCACAGCCAAGAGTTCTCTTCAGACGCACATCAGAATCCACCGGTAACGTTTCACAGAGAATTTTCTGCATTCAGCTCTGGGGTTCACTGGGGCGACGTACTGCCTAGATAGGCCTTCCCCCCAGCTTAGCACTCTGGTAGGATTGTTCTGGGCCGTCTCTTTCTTCCTTTTCTCTTCCTCAATCCCGGAAAGTCCCATGTAGGAAAAATTGGGACAGCCAATTCTGCTTAGAAGTTTGCTCATCGATTTCATGGATTGAATCTTGATTTGGGGGCCATGTGCCGGTCCAAGGCTTCCCAAAACTCAATTTTAAAAATAACGCTAATAAATTTTACATAAATGTTTTTTTCTTAAATCATTTGTTCACACCACTTACTTCCAGATTGAAGCTGGGAGTTGTTCTCACAGCATCAGACATCATTAAGAGCTGCTTGAATGTTAGCATCGGACCTGTCTTCAGGCATTGGGGGAAGACTAAGAACAGAAAAGCCTCTTTACTTTCTGATCTGAAACCTGTGCTGTGGACCCATACATTGTATCTCATCCTGCCCAACCCCCTCTGCTGCCCTTTCTTCTGAACCACCCCCCAACCTTCATTTTATTCTATTCTATTCTATTCTTTCTGATTAGGTTAGAATCATAAGCTGCGGGAGGTTAAGTCGCTCCAAGTCCTTCGGGTAGTAACATACCCGTGACTTATGATTTCCAGTCCAACTCACTGTTCCCTCTTCCTGGCTTCCCGTAAAGATTGACAGCCTCTCTGGGAGTCAGAACCAGTCCGATGGCAGGGAGCGTGGTTTGGTGTTCCTCCCCAAATAGGCGAGGCCCGAGCTGCGCGTCCGTCTTACACATACTGTGCATGCTTTCTCGTAGAGGAGAAAAGCCGTATTCTTGCAACATATGCGGCAAATCCTTCTCGGACTCCAGTGCCAAGCGGAGACACTGCATTCTCCACACGGGCAAAAAGCCTTTCTCCTGCCCGGAGTGCAATTTACAGTTTGCCCGCTTAGACAACTTGAAAGCTCACTTGAAAATCCACAGCAAAGAGAAGCCCGTTGCAGACCCCAGCAGCAGGTCCAGCAGTAATGGTACCGACGAGGTGCGGAATATTCTCCATCTGCAGCCGTATCAGCTCTCGGCCTCCGGAGAGCAGGAAATCCAGCTTCTCGTCACCGATTCTGTACATAACATCAATTTCATGCCCGGCCCCAGCCAGGGCATCAGCATCATGGCAGCCGAGAGCTCCCAGAGCCTGACCCCCGACCAGACTGCCAATCTCACCCTGCTCACGCAGCAGCCAGAGCAGCTGCAGGGTCTGATTCTGTCCGCACAGCAGGAGCAAACCGAGCACATCCAGGGCCTCAATGTGATCGGAAGCCAGATGGAGCCCACCCAGCCAGAGCCAGTGCACGTCATCACACTCTCCAAGGAAACCCTGGAATGCCTTCACGCCCAGCAGGAACCCACAGGGGAGCTCCAGCTAGCAGCAAGTACTGCCGACCCGGCTCAGCACCTGCAGCTGGCCCAGGAGGCTGGCCCCCCGCTACCCGCCCAGCACGCACCCCAGCCCACCCCACTTAGCCAGGGCCAGAGCTGACCTGTCAGCGTGGGGGGCTCCTCTCCTTGGCCTCTTCTCTGGAAGCCAGCCGCATCTGGATGGTAAACGCCTGAGGTCCGGCTTTCTGAAAGGCTGGCGTGCACATCCTTGCAGAGATGTGATAACTAGCTGGTTCCTGTAACGCCTTTCGGGCAGCGAGCTGCACCCATCCTGGGTTAAAGAGGACCGGCTTGGTTTTAGCGGATTTTCATTTTCTTCATCTATTGCATCTCTTAAGACTGAAGCACTTTTTCTTGAGGGTGTTCATTTAGAGTTTTCTGTAGATGGTAATGCTCACAGTCAGAGGTTATGGGCTTGCTGACGATTCCACATGTTGATAGAATTGGGTCAAGTGTTGATTCCACTTCCTGATTTCTCTCGGATGCCAACCACTGTATGCCGACCGCAGCCCACTCAGGGCTGCATGTGACAGGTCACGGTTGGGGAATTTGCCCTTGTAAGGTTTCCAATCCCCCAAAAAAGAAGAGTCAGCTCTCAGTATTTATTCTCACCATGGCCTCTTGATGTCATGCTTAGGTAGATTCAGGACATGGAAACTACAGTTTATGTAGTTACTCAGTTAATGTAGCCAGAAAGCCTAAACTATAGGAGGTTTTTGTTTAATTCTGAACTCAATTTTTCAGAGAAACGTGGACTTAAAATTTTAATTTAAGTATCTAGATTCGATCAAGACCCCTCCCCCCAAGTATATTCTAAATAAAGCAAAGAGATTTGCTCTTCTCGATAAAGTAAAAGCTTTCTTAAATACCCTGCTTTCTTAAATACCTTTCTTAAATATTACTCAGTATGGTTTCAGTGTGAAATGTGCTCTGCCAAATTCTAAATGATCTAAACATGTCGATCCTGGGTAATCTTCTGGAGATGGGAACGTGTTATAATTTTGAACTTTATTGCAAACTAAATTCAATCCCACGAAACGGATACATCATTCCTTTAAACATCCGTTTCCACTCTTAAAAGCAATTTGGGACCTCAGAGACTGAGTTAGTAGTCAGTACACGTGACTTTAATCATTTTCTGATTTTAAATAGCCAAAAGGTTCAAGTATGTTTGGGGTGGGTTTTACAGCTTACTGTCTGTTTTTTTGTTGTTGTTTTTTCCCCCATTTTGTAAGCACTTTACTCACCACTCACTCTCAAGTAAACTGGTAGGGTTTTTTTTTAATAGAAGCCACCACCCCCAAAAAAAGGTGTATAATGGGTTATCTAAATTAGCAAAATGCTGGTGGGGAATAGAGGTGACAGACCCTGATGTTACCAGTCTTTCTACAGGAGTTCCGTCTGCCTCGGATGTGTTTGATTCCACTCGAATCAAGGTAACTGTTTGGGGGGAGTAGCGTAATCGAGAACTCTTCAGATTTGAGATCAGATGATCCATTTGCCAAGCTGTCTATCATTATGTGTAACTCAGACTTTTCAGAATGATAAGTTGTATGGGTTCCAACCAAAATCAAGTTAAATCAGACCTGACTAGTTAGTGTAAGCGTTATAAATACAGTTATACTCTCTAGGTACGATTTCAGGTTGCTTTTGATTCAGGCATTTAAAGTTGTTTAACCAGATCCTTAAAATGGAACGTTCTTATTGACCGTTTTCCCACCCAGTAGGCATACATAGTATTAAAATCTGTGACATTTTTT